TGACTGCAAATTATCGTGAATGCACAATATATTGGCATCCAGAAGGGCCCATAGGAAGCTGTCTTATCTTAAGTTTAAAAAAAAACCCATTGGTCCATCTAGTTCAGTATTGTCCACACTGACTGGCAGCAGTTATTCAGGGTATTGGACAGGCTACATTCCCAGCCCTGCCTGGAGATGCCAGGGATTGAATCTGAGACCTTCTGCATGCAAAGCAGATGTTCTGCTTCTGGGCCACAGCCCTCCTTCAAAAGCTAGAAATCTTGAGCTGGACATGTGTTAAATGGATTGACTGTACCTTGGTCCCAACACAGGTTTACCCTGAGAGCTTGGTTAAGACTACTTTGGGTATTTATGTCAGGAACGAGATTGAGATCACAGATTTCCTCATTTGTAGTGCAGCTTCTTAGACACCACGCTACACCACTTTCTGTTCTGCAGTAGTAATTGGCTAATTGTACAAATGTCAGATAAGCTGTAGCTGTCATAATGTTACCTTTTATCTTTGTAATAAGAGAAACCTAGGACCATAATGTAAAACTGCCTGTTGAAACAATCTGCCTATAATATTGTAAGTCAGACAAAGAAAGAGAGGAAGGGGGGGGTAAGTTAATGTGTATTGGAGAAATTCCCAGCTGCGGAATGAGGTTTCTGTGCCAAGAAAAGACTGGCAGGCATTTCAGGTGGTTGAGAAATATTTGTCACCATTGAATGGTGCGGAAATTCCCTCCGGTTGAATTAAACCCCAGTTTTGAGGTATCAGTAGAAAGCTTTCTATGGAGATATGAAACAAGGACAGCTGTGCAATTGCCAAGTTTAGGGGATTTATTTGCTTCTTTTCTTTTCTTTTCTTTTCTTTTCTTTTCTTTTCTTTTCTTTTCTTTTCTTTTCCTCTCCTCTCCTCTCCTCTCCTCTCCTCTCTCTCTTCTTTTTGTAGTCACAGTTTAGTGCCATAGGATTAACTGAAAGTATGTAGGGTATTCCCAAACCAGCTGCTAATAGGTAATCCATGGAATGAGTTTCAACATTGTTCAGTGCAGCTACAATACTAGGCATCATTCTTTTATTTCATTCTTTGCCACAATTACACAATGAACCTCTTCATGCAAACAACAGGTCCCTATTTCCCTAGTCACTCAACTTCTTCCTTTCTCTGCATCAAAATATTAACTTCCTTCCTAATTTTGTTTTTTTACTCACCCTTCATCATGAGGTCCCAGGTCACAACAGCTTAATGCTACCATACTAACTTCAGTAGAAACAAACGAACTATCAAGAAAATATGGTGATTCCTAGAAATATCTCTCTCTGGTGTCAAAGGTCAAAGTAATGAGGTGCTTCTGAATACCAGTTGCTGGTATTGTGCCAGTTCCAGGATGCTCAACTAGATAACCTTTTAAAATGTGGGGTTTGGGGGGGGTATTGGGTTGTTGTTTTTATTTTGATTATGTATTTTGTGGTTTATATTTTTATTTTATTCTGTGAAGTGCCCTGAGACTTGCAGGTATAGGGCGGTATATTATTGATGATGATGATGATGATGATAGATGGGCTGGGGGCCTGATCCTGCTGGCTCCTCTTACGTATCTTCAGCATATGATGAAAAGCTACAAAATGAGGTGCCAGACCATGGTTTAGGGACTGGCGTAGTGCATGCCCTTCCCCTATTCAAAACATTCATGGATAAGTCCAACCATTAAAAACAAATGCATTTGTAAAAGAAATCAACAGCAAAAACATTAGAATAGGACAACAGTATGGAGCTATCACACCTCTATATCCAAGAAAACGTTAAGAAAACAAGGACACATTTTTTTAAAAAATGAAATGCTGAGCTAGATAGGCTGATTGAGATAGCCACTATAGCAGCATGAGGAAGAATTGGGATTCAAATTTAAAGCTTTTTGCACAGTCCCTGCACTATAGGACTCTGTTAAAGTGTCAGAAAGAATAATAATACCAACAAAGCATAAGAGATAGAATAGTAAAACATACCCAAAATTATCAAAGCTGCCTTCTAACTCTTTATGTCTGTGATGTGTAAAAATGATTAAAGAAGATGCACAACACCCTCATTTGATGGGTTTTTACACCTGTTCATTTGTCCTCTATATCTCATTTCCACACTGCCTCTCACAGGTAATTTCAGTTTCTGTCAATCTGCTGTCATCTCCCCTAGAGTTGATGGGGATAACGGTGAGATCCTGTATAGGCTGGATGCATAATACACAGCTGGTTGCCTGCTTTGTTGACACCTGTCCTCAGAGGGAAAGATGACTTTCTTGTTCAGGGGTACTTTAGATTTGTGCCACAAAGCTGACTTGGGAGTTTTGTGTGTCCATATTTTCATGCCATAAATGTTTACATTGCATTTAGAGCTGACTTGAAATTTCTTGGGGGAGTTGTTTTTTTTAAAAAAATAAAATTCATCTTTTTCTCACTACCCACCTCCAAAAATAAGCAAACAACCTGCAGACATTTTGCCAAATGCTCTCTAAATATTTTTGTGTCAACTGTCATTCTTCTCTGCAATGTTCTGTAATAACATTAGATCTGGGGCACTGTGAAAAATGAAAAATGGTTGCCACACTACCAGTCCAGTAAGGTACAGTCATCATGTTTTGTTTAATTTTTCTCAGGGGTTGACAAGGCCTGTTTTGTTTTTAACTGTGAGCAGTTAGTTTTCATTCAAATTGGTCATTGAAAACATCAATAATTTGATATTTGAGTTTGTTTTCCTCTTCCCTCACCATCCATTTTCCTTTTGTGATTTGTCTTTTTAGGTTGTCTTAATTTTTGTTGATTTGTAAGCTGTTCTTAGAGATTTTCAGATGAATAGTTGGTTACAAGTGTTTGATGGAATGGAAAAAAATCATATATACTTGATAAATACTTGAATAGCATGCATAGGAGCTGCAGGAGTGTCCTTTCTTTTTCATTCCACTGCTGTCATGTTGAAAGTACCAGGCTACGTGGGAAGATCCAGCAATGTGCCTGCCTCCCACACTAGCGTTGACCCCCATGATGCTTGGGAAGTGCTGGCATGGAGAGATGCTACATTGCTATGTTGTTGTGGCAGTACAAGAAATACAAACACAAGGCTCTCATGTTTCTCAGGAGACACTGGAAGGGGCCTTAAAAGTAACTTTGCACTTTAGTAATATCATGGATCACTGCCTTGTCGTGGCAAAGGGGCTTGAATAACTCAAAGAAGCTATGAGCTATGTCGTGCAGGGCCACCCAAGACGGACAGGTCATAGTGGAGAGTTTTGCCTAAACGTGATCCACCTGGAGCAGGAACCAGCAAGCCACTCCATGCACACGAAAGCTCATAACAATAACAAACTTAGCTGGTCTCTAAGGTGCTACTGGAAGGAATTTTTTTATTTTGTTTTGACTATGGCAGACCAACATGGCTGGCTACCTACCTGTATGAAGTCTTGGGTTTGCAATTTTGGGAGAGGGGAGACTGCCCGCTGGGGAGTGGGAGGGCTGGTGAGCCCCCTAGATTTAGAGGCCCTAGTCTTCAGCCTTCTTAGCCTATACATAAATCCGGCACTACAGGAAGGGTGAATGAACCATGTTTCCTGTATTCAAGTATATAATTAACTTTCAAAGTCAGGACTCTTTTCTTATACCTTCCCCAGGGAAAGAAAATATATGCTGTAACCATTCCAAGAGCATACACATTTCCCCATTCCCACTCCTATTATTTCTATTAATGTCTGATGCTACTCCTAGGCTGCAGTACTAATCATATCTAGAAGGAGGTCCTATTGAATGTAATGGGCCTTATTCTCAGGGAGAGTCAGAATTGCATCCTAACTTGCTTGAGATATCTTTCCCACCGCACTGTGTTCAAGGTACAGATACTTCCACAAATCCACTCTCCCCTCTCTCATGGAGAAATCTTCCCTTCTATTTCTGTCTGCTCACAAGAGTTATACAAAAAACCAAGAGCAAAAAAATTCCTCTCCCCAAAAGTCCACATATAGAACAAACAAACTCCAGCAAAAATAAAAATAAAACAGAACCACAATTTAAGACAGAATTAAAAACTTAGAAGACTAGACTATTTTAAAGGCTTTGGAAGGTCTTTACAGAGTTGGTGGCAGGTGATCTTCTCTGGGGAGGCAGAGATATGTTCATGTGTCCTCTTTTTCCAAGATGTGTCCTCTTCTTCAGGGGTAAAATTTGAGACAAATTGCATGTATTTGCTTTGAATGGCCATCATAGTGTCCTAGCATCCTCATTTTTTATTTTTTATTTTCAAAATACAGTCATACCTCTTGTTACATCCGCTTCATGTTACGTTCTTTCAGGATACGTCCCGCGGCGACCCGGAAGTACCAGAAAGGGTTACTTCCAGGTTTCGCCGCTTGCGCATGCGCAGACGCACAAAATGACATCACTCGCATGCGCAGAAGCGGCAAATCATGACCAGCACACACACAGACGCGGGTTGCGTTCTGCTCATGTTGCGAACGGGGCTCCAGAACGGCTCCCGTTCTCAACCAGAGGTACCACTGTAGGGCAATGCTAAATTGATGCAGCCAGTGGAATCCTATCTGGTAGTTCAGTCAGTAGAGCATGAGATTCTTAATCTCAGTGTCATGGGTTCAAGTCTCATATTGGGCAAACGATTCCTGCATTGCAGGGGGTTGGACTAGATGACCCTTGTGGTCCTTTGCAACTCTACAAATCTATGATTCTATCCTTTAGTGGTCTGATGCTCTCCACCTTGCTTGCTCACCCCCAACAAAACAAAACAAAAAGTTGGCTTTCCGTTTTGCTTTGTTAAACCCCCTCTGCCCCGCGCTCCCAAACACTCTGGTTTTACTGATCCTGCTTTCTTTCTTTTTAAGTTAGCAGCTCGGAAAGTTTAGCAGCATTGCTCCCCCTCGCCATCGCTCCTATTCCCCCTTCCACCTCGGGTTTCGCCCTTCCTCTCTCGACACCCATCCCCTCCTCCCGCCTGTTCCTAAACGCCTCCTTCAAGATCGCGGCTGCTGGGCAGGGCTCCAGAAGAGCAGCAGCAACAAACAAGGAGGCAGGAGTTCAAAGTTAGCAACGGGTTGCACAACTTCGACGCTGGGTGACTATTAACAAGCTGGAGTAGCAGCAGCAGCAGCAGCAGGAACGCCAGCGAGACAGCAACGCGCCAGCCAGCCAGAGCTTTCTTCTGGGACCTGTTTGATGTTCTCCTCCTGCCTTTGGGACCTACCATGGCTCCTTTTGGAAGGAATCTCTTAAAGACCCGGCACAAAAATAGGTAAGGAGTTGTTTGGAGATTCTCTTTCTTGTACCTGTTTGATTCACACACAGCCGAGCTTTCTCTTACAAGACGGTCATCCGAAGATTAACTCTTCGGGGGAAGGTGCCTATATAAACTCAAGACGGGTGTGTGTCTCTTTCTCCCCCTTTTTGCACTTTCCCCCTGCCTATGAGTTGGCTTCTCCAACCATGGCTTTTCAATAGGAAAATTCCACCCCACTCTTATCCCTCCCCTCCCCCTTTATAAAAAGGTACGTGTAAGCACTCGGATACTGGAGCACGACTTTACTACTACTACTACTACTACTGCTGCTGCTGCTGCTACTACTACTTCATTTCCTCCTGCAAACTGAATGTGTGAAAGAATGCCCGAGAAAATTCCAGGGTGGGATGAATACGTCCTGGCTAGGAGTGGGAACTAAACGCAAACGTTACAGCGCCCCTTATCTGGAAGCTGATAAGTTTCTGCGCGCACTAGTTGGCTGGCTGCAAACAGCGGGGACTCGCTCGTCCATTGAAGGGGGCGGCTCATGTTTTTGTTCGTGTCCCACCTAAACTTTGCCCAACATTTGCCTGAAAGCTGTCAGGAATCCACTCTCGCTTCTCAGCAGGCTACGCTCGCTTTTCAGTGTAAGTTTTGTACTGTAATGAGAAGTTTGTTGTGTTTGGCGGGCTGGATGATGGGTTTGCTTTTTTTTTTAGTTTTTTGGGTTTTAATCTATTCTGAGCGCAGAGTTTGGGATCTATGATTCCTAATTCATCATTTAAATTTCTGTTACCATTTTTTTACTGGGGATAAGAGTTGGTTCGTTTTGAATAGCCTAGTCTGTCCTAACAAGGGCAGAACTTCATGTTCCCCTCCCTCATATTTCAAGGGCTCCTATCCGTCCCCCTACCCCCAATAGCCACACTTGCTTCTACATGTTCTTTCCAATACTCTAAAGAGAAAATTGCATGCTCCAGAATTGTGTAATTATTTTTAACTGCTGGTGTGGCTTTACATCTTAAGTGTAAGTTTCCTTGGAGCGAACATGATATTTTTTCTGTTGCTTTGGCAATTACAGTGACCTTGAACTTGAGATGGAATAGCTAAAGTGCCTATTGTTGAACTACATTGTGTCCTCCTTGTTTCTGTAATTTCAATTTAAGTTCTATTGGGATGTTTTCTATTTTATTTTATTAAAAAACTATGTTGTATAGTCCCCCCCTCCCAAGTGAATGCTGTGTTCTCTCTCCGCCCCCAAACCCATATGTATTAATTGGTTTTATTTACATTTGTGTGCCTTGGCCTCTTTAGGACCGTGGTCACATTCCATGATAAGGCCAATAATCTGCAATAATCTCTCTCTGCCTCTATCAGTATATTATCAGTGGTTATTATTCACAAGTGCAGGCAAAAATAAATGAGCATGTCTCTGTGTTTGAGAACAATGATTTGTTCATGAGTTTTCTGTTAATGTTAGAAAATGATAGCTGCTTTAGATTGCAAAAGCTATGTAGGATTTCCTTCTGAGCAAATATGCATAGAATTGCAGTGTAAGAAGCTAATTTAGAAAACTCTACAGTGAGCTGCGATGGTGGTGGGCAGATATATGCAGAAAGTTTCAGAGGCCTACACTTGGATATATTCCTTTCCAATTAAATTACAAACAAGTGACACATTTTCAGAAGTTTTTGGGGGAGTTTTGTGGGATGACATTGGGGACTGCAGCCTTTGTTTTCCTCAAAAATTAGTGTTAGCCCCAAAATCTGTTGTGGTTCTATCACGTTCTTGTTGAACCATGAGGTAGGGGTGGAGGGTAAGTCTTGGCACAATAACAAAGGACAAAATCTGGAAAGTAAACAAAGGCACCCTTTCTTGCACTACAGTACTGGAACCAGAGGACAATTGTCTACAGCTTGCTCCTGGTAGAGATCTGTGTCTGATAATTTAAAGGCTGCCAAGAGAGATGGAAAACGGATGTTTTGTAAATCTGAAAAGTTGTGATGAGATAGGAATCATTTCCCTGAGTAGTTGCTGCCTTTTCAAACCTAAGTAAAATCTTGCCCTAAGTAGGATCTGTCCATCAAAGTTTTAATTGGTATATAGAACAGTAAGCTTGGAAATAGATGTTCCTTTTTCTTTTTGTTCCTGGCTCTGCTACTTTTGAAAAAATAGTGCCAGCTAGTCCTGGTGGTTTGCTACATGCAAGTACTCATAATGCACTCATTTGTAATCCACAGAAGTGTTGTGAGGCCCATTGTTTCCAGTTCTGGGGAACTCAATAGACATCTCATAACTCCACATGAATGTCCATAGAAATACATTTGAAATTATCAGCAACTATCCAAGAAGGGACGTGGGTGGTGCTGTGGGTAAAAGCCTCAGCGCCTAGGGCTTGCCGATCGAAAGGTTGGCGGTTTGAATCCCCGCGGCGGGGTGCGCTCCCGTTGTTTGGTCCCAGCGCCTGCCAACCTAGCAGTTCGAAAGCACCCCCGGGTGCAAGTAGATAAATAGGGACCGCTTACTAGCGGGAAGGTAAACGGCGTTTCCGTGTGCGGCTCTGGCTCGCCAGATGCAGCTTGTCACGCTGGCCACGTGACCCGGAAGTGTCTCCGGACAGCGCTGGCCCCCGGCCTCTTGAGTGAGATGGGCGCACAACCCTAGAGTCTGTCAAGACTGGCCCGTATGGGGAGGGGTACCTTTACCTTTACCTTTATCCAAGAAATAGTTTTTTAAGCCCCACAGAGTTACATGAGTGCCATCCATATTTTATCTCTGATTTTTCATCCTATTCTAACATGCTTGTATATTAAAAAGTCCCATTCATCTAAATGACTTCAGTGAAGTTTAGGCAGGAGTTCTAAGCATCCTTACATTTCTAGTACAGTGGTACCTCGGGTTGCAGATGCTTCAGGTTACAGACTCCGCTAACCCAGACATAGTACCTAGGGTTAAGAACTTTGCTTCAGGATGAGAACAGAAATCGTGCGGCAACAGGAGGAGGCCCCATTAGCTAAACTGGTACCTCAGGTTAAGAACAGTTTCAGATTAAGAACGGACCACCAGAACGAATTAAGTTCTTAACCAGAGGTACCACTGTTTGCTATGTTTCAGTTTACTCAGTCAAGCAAAGATGATGATGATTTATTAAATTTCTGTACAACCCTTCATTTGAAAGTCACAGGGCAGTTTACAAATGAAAACACAAAAATACTTACCATAATAACAAACAAAAACAGTGACACCCCCCCCCCAGTTTAAAAGGCAATATATTGTTTAATTAGCCAAAGAGGTCAAGATTATTTGAAGCAGATGGAAGCAGAGTGTTCCTGTTGAGAGCAAATGGTCCTTTTATTCAGTGGTCAGTGTGGTGTAATGGTTAGAGTGTTGGACTATGACCTGGAAGAGACCAGGGTTCAAATCCCCCCTCAGCCATGAAGCTCACTGGATGTGACTTTGGGCCAATTACTGATTTATTACGGGACGTGGGCAGTGCTGTGCATTAAGCCACAGAGCCTAGGACTTGCCAATCAGAACGTCGCGGTTCGAATCCCCGCGACGTGGTGAGCTCCCGTTGCTCAGTCCCTGCTCCTGCCAACCTAGCAGTTTGAAAGCACGTCAAAGTGCAAGTAGATAAATAGGTACCACTCCGGCGGGAAGGTAAACAGCGTTTCCGTGCGCTGCTCTGGTTTGCCAGAAGCGGCTTAGTCATGCTGGCCACATGACCCAGAAGCTCCCTCGGCCAATAAAGTGAGATGAGCACCGCAACCCCAGAGTCGGTCACGACTGGACCTAATGGTCAGGGGTCCTTTACCTAACAGTGGTCAGAAACATCCTCTTGAAAAGGAAGAACACAGGGCAGAAGACACTGACTTATATTGAGTCAGATCATTTGGTCTATCTAGATAAATTCTGACAACACTGCCTGGCAGTGGCTCTCCAGGATTTCACGCAGGGATCCCTCCCAGACCTACTTGGAGATGCAAGCAGGATAAAATGTCCTTTGGGGGTGATGGTGGTGGGTGACAGGCCAAGTTCTACAAGGAAGGTGGAAGCAGTTGTATATATTTAAAAGAGGCAACAAAGAGGCTGTTTTCAAATATTTGAAGGACTGCCACATGGGGGATGCAGCAAACTTGCCTTCTGTTGCTCAAGACGGTAGAACTTACACCAACAGTTTCAAATTACAAGAAAGAGGGTTTTGAGTAAATATTAGAAAGAGTTTTCTGATTGTATGAGGTGTTCGGCAATGGAACAAGCCACCCTGGAAGGATCAACTTTCATTTGAGGTTTTCATGCAGAAGCTGGATGGTGACCTTTCTGGGATGCTGTGGCAGCAGATTTGACTAGATGACCATTGAAATTCCTATGATTTTATGAAGGCAACATATTTTCCCTGTTATGTGGTCTCACAACACCTGGTGTTCAGCAATGTACTCTCTATGATCACAGGGATCCATTTAGTTATAATTTCTAATACAGACAATATTTTTGTCACCACAAGTGATGGGGGGAACTAAGGACATTTTGTGCTTAGTCCAAAAAACGGCATTTTTCCTGCTGCTTGTTTAGAATTTTCAGCACTGTATTCCAATGTGTGCTGAAGATGGTAGAGGCATAGTCACATCATATAGAAAGAGGATTTGTATACCCAAATGAAGAATTGAGTTTGGGACAGATCATTTTTGGGGAGTTACAGTTTGAGTTACTGTGGTTGCTGTGGCCATTGGCCTTATGTGAAAGCAATGATCATTTCCATGTTTTGAATGTATAATTTGGCAGACACGTGCCCTTTCATACTTGTTGCACTTCTAGAAGGCTTGGGTGGATGCAGTGGCCCATAACTAGAGCTCTTTCCGAAAAGAGGGGCGATCATTTCAATGCGACCAGTGCCAATTTGCCATTGCATCAAATGGATTGGTAGCAAATAGGTTTTCACCTTCCCCAGAAGTGTGTGGCAATGTGGCATGGCCAGCATGTTTGATCCATTGGGGCTTGGCTTCCTGAATGTGTTC